AAAGCCCCATCTGTTCTGGTAGTTTTTATGTCAACTTGACACAAGCTAAGACCATCGGGGAAGAAGGAATCTTAATGGAGAAAATGCCTCCATAGGACTGGCCTGTGATTCATTTTCTTGAGAGATGATTGATGTGGGAGGGCTCAGCCCACTGTGGGTGGTGCCACCCCTGGGAAGGTGGTCCTGTATAAGAAAACAGAACAAGCTGGGAGGAACAAGCCAGTAAGCAGTGGTCCTCCAAGCTCCTGCCCTGACTTCCCATCATGGCTTTCCTCAGCTATAGCCCTTTCCCTTCCAAGGTGCTTTTGGTTATGGTGTTTATCACAGTAATAAAAACCATAATTAAGACTCCATCCATAGACATCTATCAAAGGGGTGTATTTAAGGTGTTAGCTATAAGAATTGCTATTCACAGTACTGCTTACTGGAATCAAACATTGGAAATAATTGCCAATATGTAACTGGTTGAATAAACCATGGTACATTCACACAATAAAATGTGGTGTGTCCATGTACAGCAGCAGCAACAAGCTAATATATGAAAAGGTGATTACAGTATATTGTTGGATAAAAAGTAAACTTTTTATATTTATATAAATAGTATATAATATATAGGTAATTTGTAAAGGTAGTCATGTACATAGAAAAGTCTAGAAGATTATACTCCAAAATACCAGTAAGTGCCTATTGGTAGTAGTATTAGGGAGAAGTATATTTACCAGTGCTTTATTGTGTTAAAATGCACATATGCAAATCTTTTATTGAGTGCATTGATCATGTTGTATAACCATTCACCTCTGTGAATCTGTCTTGTAATATGGAAATTCTGTACCTATTTAACTCTCCACCCCATCCCCTTGCTCCTAAAGACCACCACTATACTGTCTTTGTGATTCTGATGATTCTAAGCACTTCACAAATGTGAAATCACACAGAATTTGTCCTTTGTTATTTATACTTATTGCACTTAGCACAATGACCTCCAGACTCATCTATGTCGTAGCACACATAGTCAGGATGTCCCCTGAGTCTGTATAAGTCTCACTGTGTGTAGAGCTGACGTTTTGCTTATGAACTTTCTGCTGGCAGTCACATGGGCTGCTTCCATGCTTGAGCTTCACGGATAACACACCAGCATCCAAACACCTCCTCAAGACTTGTTTTCTTCTTTTCCTTTTGGTAAATGTTATTATCAAAAGTAAGCGTCTTTGAAAGGAAACCATTTATATTTACCAAAAGAAAGAATGGGACAGAACTTTGAAAAGGTGGGAGACTATTTGGGAAGGACTTATTAACCCAAATCTCTGCTAGAGAAATATGGATGCTGTCTTTACTTTGCATTTTCTAAATTTTTTAATTGTGGTGAAATATATAACATAAAATATGCCACCTCTAGTGAACAATTTTGTCATGCTATATACCATCCACAGCATAGAGTTTAGCAGATCAACCAACTTCTGGGATGCCTTTCATTTTACAAAACTGAAATCAAATCATTATTGCCCACCCACTTCCCTGGAGTCCCAGCATCCTTTGTGTCCCTGTGAATCGGGATACTCTAGGAAAATTGAGTTACCTAGTTACCGGATGTAGATTATAAAACTATTTGAATTTTTGATTTGACATTCCCACTTAGCATAATGTCCTCAAGGTTCATCCATGTTATATGTAGAACATGTCAGAATATCTTTCCTCTTAAGGGATGAACAGTATTTAATCATAGAGGCATACCACATTTTGATTATCTAATCAGCAATCATTGGACATCTGAGCTCTTCTAATTAAAGGTTTTTGTTTTTGTTTTTGTTTTTTGTTTTTTGAGATTTCTTTTAGTCTTTAAAACTTATTACTGGATATATGTGGGTATTTTTCCTGCATATATACCATTTATATGTAGTATCTTTGGAGGTCAGAAGTGGGTGTTAGATCCCCTGTAACTAGAGTTACAGACAGTTGTGAGCCACCATGTAAGGCTGGGAATTGAACCTGGGTTTTCTGGAAGAGCAGTAAGTGCTCTTAACTGCTGAGCCACCTCTCCAACCCCTGCTTCTACTTTTTAAAAGATTATTTTTATTTATTTGTGTGTGTGTGTGTGTGTGTCTGTCTATCTGTCTGTGTCTGTGTGAGTGTATGTCACATGCATGTGGGTGCCCACAGAGGCCAGAAGAGTGTACTGGATCACTTAGAGCTGGAGTTAGGGGCAGTTCAGGTGCTGGGAACAGAACTCGGGTCCTCTGCTAGATTAGCAGGTTACTATTAAGCCATCTCTCCTGTCCCTGGTTCTACATTTTCTTATGAACACTGAGGGGAAAATATTTCTCCAAGATCCTGATTTCAATTCTTTGAAACTTCTAGCTTACAGTAATACTGTTTTTAAGTTTTGGAGATGTCGCCCTGTTGGATAGCGCTGCACCCTACACTGTTGGATCATCTTATGTCCCACCAATAATGGATGAATTCTAGCTTCTCCACATTCTCTTCAATACTTGGCACTTGGTACCTGTGGAGGTTTGAATAGGAATGGCCCCTGTAGACTCATGTGTTTGAATGCTTGGCCCATAGGGAGGGGCACTATTAGGAGGTGTGGCCTTGTTGGAGTTGGTATGTGTGGGTGGGCCTGGAGGTTTCTATATATTGCCTACTGGAAGAAAACTTCCTCCTCTTTAAGCCAAAGTCAGTTCTTTCAAACTTTCAACTGACTGAATGTAGCTTACCCACACGATCAAGGGTAAACTGCTTTATTAAAAGTCTGCTGATTTAAATACTAATCCAATCTATCAAATACATGCACAATAACATCCAGATTTGTTTAACTAAATATAGCCCAAATAACTGAGGCTTAGTCTAATTGATACATAAAAATAACTATTATAAATTCCTTTGTCCATTTTTAAATTAGGTTGTGGCTTTTGTTGTTTTTTGTTGACCTGAGTGAACTCTTTCTATATCCTATATATTAAACTCTTATAAATGATTTGAAAATACATTTTCCCATTAGATAGGCTTCCTTTCACTTTGTTGATTGTATACTTTGATAATGATGCTTTTGATTCTGATGTAGTCCGCATCTTTGCTTCTCTTTCCTACTTTTGAGCATAGTTACTTTGCCTTGGGATTGAGTAGGACAGTAGACCATAGAAATGTCGAGAGGAAGCAAACATACTGTGCATCTCACCTCATGGAAAGGTATCTCCAAGGTCTGGAGACGGAGGTCAACCTTGTGGTAGGTGTCCAGGCACGGCAAAAAAAAGAACAGGCCTACAAGAAGGCATGAGGAAAATAACAGGTGAACAGCAAGTGTGAAGACTGCTGAGAACTGTCTTCTCAGGGCCAGGCTGCTTTGCGCTTCTTAACCTCCATTACCCAGAGACCACTGGGCAGCTTCACTGTAACTAAAGTATTGTCATATAACTCATTATTCAAGTGTGGACACTTTTGAAGGTAAAAGTGGGGGTTACATTATTAAAACTAAGTTCAGCATATCAGGTATAAACAGAGTATTTCAGAAAACTAGACCACTTGGTCACCTGAGGCATCATATTGACCCTTCTATATCTCTTACATACCTGTCCCTCTACTAGACTCAAGCTCTGTGAGTACAGTGCCATATGCATGAACATTAACCTTAATGTGTCTTGGAGCCTTTTAGGTACTGTGCAAAATTGTTTTACTATGTGAATGTACTGGTGCATCAATTTAGATCTGACAACTTCTGGGTGTTATTTCTGAAAATGTGAGCCCCACAATCATCAGAGTAGCAATATCATGACATCAGCTTTGTGTTGATCAGTTAGTTCTCATTACCCCAGACAGTACACAGATTCAATATGCAGTATCTGTAGATTGGTTAGTTGAAAGTTTCTTAAAGCTCCCTGGATGGTTTGGGACTGTGGTGGTTTGGATAAGAAAGGTCCCCATAGGCTCATATATTTGAATGCTTAGTCACCAGGGAGAGGCACTATTTAAAAGGATTAGAAGGATTAGGAGGTGTGGTCTTGTTGGAGGAAATGTGTCACTGGGGGGTGGACTTTGAGTTTTCAAAATTTCATGTCAGGCCTAGGCTTTTTCTCTCTCTGCCTATAGATCTGGATGTAGCTCTCAGGTACTGTTCCAGCATCTGCCTGCATGCTGCCAGGCTCCCCAGTAAGATGATAATAAACAAACCTCTGAAACTGTAAGCAAGCCCCTGACTAAATGCTTTCTTTTAGAAGGGTTGCCTTGCTCATGGTGTCTTTTCACAGCAATAGAACAGTGGCTATGACAGGAACCCTTCAAGAGCCACAACTCTGTGGAAACTAGTAGCAGCTCAAGTGCCCAGGATGTATGGGAGAGCAGCCAGCTAGGACCTTTCTCAGCCCTAACAGAGCAGGTTCCTGAAAACCAGGGCCATAGAAAGATGGTATGTACCCTGGAGCTCTGGAGTCTGGTTCTGTCTTGTGTGGACTTATATATTGGGTTTAGAACCCCGAAACTCTGATTTGTGTCCCCTAGACTGCTCTCCATTTTGAACTTGTTCTTGCAGGCATGGCTGAGAACTCAGAGCCTCTCAGTATATGTGTAGTGGGACTCACTCGCTCTTAGGCCTTCTTGGCTGTCTCGGATCTCCAAACTACTAGGTTTTTCAGACTAACCATACTTCGATCTATATGCCCTCCCATTAGGTTGGACCTCCTCTGGATTTCCAGGTCCTAGAGATCAGAGACCATACCTTATTCCTCTAGTCCTTAGCAGTCAGTGTACAGTCTAAAACAATGGAAGGCTTCAGTATGTGCCTCCTCTACCAACTAAAGACATATTTGTTACTAGGTGCTGAATTTTGCCTTACTTCCATGATCTAATCTGCCTCCGTCCCCAATTCTGAACTAGCTCAGATTTTCTCTGAGAAGTCTCAGGATTCTGACTATACACACACTGTACACAGACCAATCATTAGCTATGGGTCTGTAGATGCCTTGCTGTTCCAACTGGCCTAGCCCTGGTGTTGGGCTCTCTGGACTTGTCCTCTCTTGGTCACCTGTGACCTGTTAGTAATGCTTCCTGAAGAATTTCAGGACAATCTGCCCTATAATGAACAGATTGGAAATACAGACACAGTGACTCAAATAACTTCATGTAATCTAAGATATGGATTATCACTATGTTTGGATTAAAGAAATCATCAACAAATCATGGGGTGGGATAAGAATTTAAAAATCATGGAGGGTAATTCTTACCAGGGCCTTTGGCTCTTCCAGGGAGCAGATGTCCCAGTCGGAATATAATTACTCTTTCATACTCTTGTACAACCTGAAGGGAAAAGCAGTACTTTGAAATGATTTCAAAGAAAAACAAAGGAATCAAAAGACCTTTGCATAGGAATGATTTTAGGTTACAGACATTTTTTTGTTATCCAGGTGTGGTGTCGCACATGGGAGGCAGAGGCAGGTGGATCTCTGTGAGTTTGAAGCCAGCCTGATCTACATAGTGAGTTCCAAAACAGTCTGGGTTACATAATAAAACCTTGTGTCAAAAAACAAAACAAAACAAAACAAAAAAAACAACAACAACAAACAACAACCCCTAAACCTTTTGTTTTGAGAACTAAGAACAATGCCAGGCATGGTGGTTCATACCCAATATCTCATCAGTTGGGGGAGGCAGAGGCAGGAGGATCACCTGTGTGGTCTACATAGCATGCTCCAGGACAGCTGATGTTACAAAGACTTTGTCTCAAACGGGGGTGGGGTGGGGTGGGCAGGTAGGAGCTAGAGAGGCTGCCCAGTGGGTGAAGCCCTTTCTGCACCTCACCAACTGAACTATTGTCGTAGCCCCCAAGTGGGATTTAACAATATATATCCTATCAACATAGAATAAAGATGAGATACCATGTGAAAATTTAAACAGATGCAAAAAAAAATCCTGGGGTAAAATCCACTGCAGTCAGTGCAGTCAGTCTAGTGGGAAGAGCAGGGGAAGGGGCTGGGAAGCCGCCGTATTCTGGGAGGAAAGGACCAGCACCAGCACTAATCCGTCTGCAGCGTCCAGCCACCGCATCCCTCCTCCCCGACAGCTCCAGCCAACAGAGAACATGAACGGCAGGAGTGCCGGGGCCTGACCATTTCTACCCACCACGAAGCCAACTTTGCTCTGGGTTTCCCTTTCAAGTGGGCTGTGGCTATTTGAGAGCGGCGCCACACACAGTCTAGCGTTCGTTCTGTCCAATTCTCCCGCTTCATCTGTCCCAAGTGTCAAACTATGTCATCAAAGATGTCCCCTGCCTCTTCCTTCCTTCCTTCTTCTTCTTTTCTTTTCTTTTTTTTTTTTTTTTTTTTGAGACAGGGTTTCTCTGTGTAAACAGCTCTGGCTGTCCTGAAACTTACTCTGTAGACCAGGCTGGCCTCAAACCCACAGAGATCTGCCTGCCTCTGCCTGTTCTTGTTCTCTCTCCTCTAAATGCCTCAAGCTTCTAATTTCATCTCAGCATGTGGTTCCTGAGCGACTCAGGTCTTCATTTACTTCTGGATTAGTATAATTAAAACTCTTGGGGACCAAAGATAATTGTCTCTCCTGGTCTGTGGAAGTTGCCCGAGATGTTTTGCTTGAAGTGTCCAAGTGGATGATCCATTCTGGGATGCTCTTTGTGTCACTGAGCATGGATGGACTGGATGTGGCTTCTTAAGGGTCTCTCAGGCTAACAGGGGCATATATCTATCCATAATCTATCTGTCTGTCTATCTATCTATCTATCTATCTATCTATCTATCTATCTATCTATATCTACCCATAATCTATCATTTCTCTCTCTCTCTCTCTCTATATATATATATATATATATATATATATATCCATAATCAATTATCTATCCATCCATGCATCCATCCATCCATCTATCCATGTCATCCTTACACACACACACACACACACACACACACACACACACACACACACGACTTGCTAACATATTGTTCTAGCCATGACAGGAGACCTATAGGTTGGGAGAATAAAGGAAGCTTCATGGTTACATTGAGCCTGTCGTCAGCAGTAAGTTTGCTGCCTTAATTTTAAATGCCCTTTTTCGTCCTGTCCCAGTTAAGTTGTTTGTGTGAAAAATGTGCGGCTGGGTTCCGGAAGGTGCTGGGGATCAGTTCCCCTGTGGTTTTTCCTGTTTGGAAAACAGTGTCGGGTTTGCTTCGGGTTCCGGGTTACCCTTTCTTTGCCTCTTGTTTTTGGGGGGTATATAAGCCCATGTTGGTACGAATAAAGAGAGGTGCTTCCCTGACGAACTGAAACTGGGTGTCTAGAGTGCTGTTTAACCTCGGCGTCCCTCCCTCGCCAGATTTCGTGCTTCAGCTGCGCAGGCCACAGCAGAGCCAAGTCTTGAAGGAAGCAGCACTGTTCTGGAAGGCAGGTGGGCCTAGTATGTTCTATGAGCGACAACAGAAATCACCTCTTGTGTTCCTGTAGACACTCACCTTTATGCAGAACCAGATGGAGAAAGGGAAAGTGATGATGATGAAGAGCAGGGAGGAGAGGACAAGCAGCCACTCACAGGCCCCTAACCCAGAGGACTTGATACCTAGGAAAACAATTAGATTGAAACATCACCATATTTACTGAGCAGTATCTGTCAGTCTAGTGCTTGGCACTGGAGTCAGAACAGTTTGGAGACATGTCTGGAAAAACTGGGATGAGCCAGGTAACAGAATGATCAGAGTCCCCAGGTCTGGGGTATTGTCTGTGTGACGGACGTGTGGGCCAATGGAAGGTGGAATAAACTTCTGGACAGGCAGGGAGACTTGGGGAACCAGGAGGCCAGGGGGGCCAGTTGGTTCCAGTTCTGGTTCCAATCATGTTCATTGATGACTTTTAAGCAGGGCATAGGACCTCTTTAAAGCCTAATTTCCTCACCTATATAATGGGATGTTGACTAGTTACTATCCCATAATAGCCAGCCCATGAGCTAAAGCGGATAGATCCGGTACAAGGGTGAAACGGCATACACATGTAAAGGTGTCCCAGGTTTTACTGTGTGGCGTGTCTACAAGTCCCTGCTCCTGCCTGCCTTCGTGTCTGAGATTCTTCCACTCGAGTCCCTCTATTGGAGTGAGGTGTTCCTCAGTCCTTGGAAATCACCTATTTGGCATAATTTGGTTTGCGTCTATAAAAAGGTGATATGGAACTGGGGCGCTCCCACATCCACGATGCTTTGACCCAACATCAACGACTCTTCAGAGAATGCCTGGGCTTTGAGGGCTGGATTGTGACAGTTAAGTGTTCCACTGTCTGGAATGGGAACCTGATTTTCTGCCTTTCTACCCAGACCATCATGTAGGTTAACCCCCTACAGCCCAACTCTGTTGATTCTGTTCCTCTAGAAAGTTTTGCCCAATACAAGCAAGGTGTTTAATTTCCCAAAGCATTTTTCCTCATCTGTGACGGTATGTAACTAAATAATTCAAGAACAAAACACTCAGCGTGTGCCTGCCACATAGAAGGGACTCCACAAATGGGGTCCCCTCCCTTACCTACTTCCTTGATGTAATCTGGCACAAATTAACTTGCATTTCTATAGCCTTGAACCCAACCACCCTCCTAAGGATCAGAGGGCTATCACTTAGGCAAAAAGTCGGAGCATGGTCCATTTACACTGTAGTCCAGCTGCACGAGGCTTCCACAAATAGCAGCTCTCTATGGTCCAGCATGCATTGCATTGCTGGTAATTAGAAATGCTAAACCTCCACGTGGCCAGCAGACAGCAATGGAACACGCCGTTTCTTACTTCCATCAAGCATCTGCTATCCTTTAATTCGAGCACAATGGTGTTTTTCTTACATTTGCCACGAAAAGGACTGGAAGTAGATACATTTCTCCTAAGAGTTGTGGCACCCACGGAGGTGAAAGGGGCACTTTTGTTGGCATCCTCCCCTGTGACATGGTGGCGTTCTCCTTTAGCTTGCAAGGATTTAGCTGACTTTGTGCAAGATGCATTGGAAGGCTTATTTCATTCTCACATCTACCCTATGAGCATTCACTGTGGTCACATGGCCGGTAGCGAAGGCTCTTTCTGTGGTCACACTGCGGGCGAGTGGCTAGGCTGAAACTTATACTCTTGGGTATTATACTCGACTGATGGGCGAGTTTGAGAGAAGAGCCACACGGTAGTTGCTCAGAGCCATCCAACTGTGTCCACAGGTTCTTCCATGACCACAAAAGCCAACGCTGTGGTTCATTTGCACGTTGACTGGGCCCGTCCTGAACCGCTCTCTCTCTCTTCCACCTCCCATCCATTGGGCAAAAAGGGACAAACCATTTAGCTGATGTTGCTATTTGTATTTCGTCTGATGCACTTTGGTCTCCACCACTCAGTAACTACCTTAACTCACGCTTTTCTTTTCCCGGAAACTGGAATCTCGGACTCCACTTGTCTGACATCTCTCACCTGCCCCTCCATACCCTCCTCTGGCCGGGTCTGCCCCTCCGTACCTTCCTCGGGTCGCTCGCTCTCCAGCAGCGCCACCACTTCGGTACCCTCCTCACCGGAGCCCCGAACCTCGTCCACGTCCACCACGGTGGCGGCGGGGGCTCGGGGCTCTCCCCGCGTCCGGGTTCGCCCGGAGTTCCGCCGCTCTGACCCAGCCTCCGGGCGCGTGCGGCTTCCGCTGCCCCTCCCGGCCTTCGCCCTCTTGTCCTCCCTGGAAGAGGACCTGCCACCTCGCCCGTGGGCCTCTCTGGAAGAGCTCCGCGCCCTGCTGTCCATTCTCAGCACGGCGGCGCAGCCCGGCCCTGGCTGAGTGGCAGCTCGAGCTGTCTGAGCCGCTGGGGAGCGACCCCGGGACCCTAAGTAGGACCGAGCTGCCGAGAGGGAGGGGCGAGGGGCGGGGCCTGGGTGACCACCCCCTTCCATCCTCCCCCCCAACAAAACCCAACTGCTGTTCCTTTGAGGGTCTGGGCAGAGCCCGCGGATCTCCAAGACAGGGTGGGATGCTCTCAGAGGACCTGGGTGAGAGAGTCTCGGTGCCACCGCACCCGGTAGCTTCGAGGACCAGGTCCGCGAACTAGAAAAGGAAGGTAGTTCTGCTTTGCTGGTAGTTCTGCTTTGCTGGTTAACAGCGGCGTGAAATAGGACACGTGGTTACTAGGGGATCTGCTTTAATTTCTGTGGTTGGAAAGGTCCCGTTCCCATGCTTTCTTGAAGGCTGGAGTTAGGGGTTTTCAAAGTTCAGTGGCCAAACTGCTTCCAGTAGCAAACCCAGGAGCTGTCTCATCCTTTTTTGGGGAGCTTGACACGGCTGTAGATTTCTTTGTATTCCACTGTTTCTGTCTGAATCAGAAATGTCTCTATAACTTTTAAAGCAATGTTCTTACAATTCTACTCCAATCAAATTAGCCCATGTTGATAGAAATGTTCATTTATTTGGTTTTCAATATTGATTTCACACATATCTTTTTTTTTCCCCCTCAAAAACTTTTTAAGAAAACTTTAGTAGCTGGGCAGTGGTGGTGTAAGCTTTTGATCCCAGCATTTGGGAGGGAAGGGGGGGGGAGAATCTCCAAGTTCGAGGCCAGCCTGGTCTACTTGACAATGAGTTCCATGACAGCCAGGGTTACACAGAGAAACCCTGTCTTGAAAAACCAAAATTATAAAGAAAAAACTGCAGTAATGAGAACCTGAAATAAATTGACCTTGAGAACTATTGTTTTCTTTCATGTGTTTCAGATATCCATGGGAATACAATAAATATTTAGTAACCAAGTAACCTGAAATTAAATGAACCCCTGATGCTGATTTTTAAAATATTTTAAAGATTATTTTATGTATGGGTGTTTTGCCTGCATATATGTCTGTGTACCTTGGGCATGCCTGGTGCCTGTAGAGGCCAGAAAAGGGCATTGGATCCCTGGAGCAGAAGTTATAAAAAACTGTGAACTGCCATATGGATGCTGAGAATTGAACCCGGGTCCTCTGGAAGAGCAGCCATGCTCTTAACTGCTGAGACATCTATCCAGTCCTTGACAATGATTCTTGCATAAATTATATGAGAGGGCAAATATTTCAAAAGTCTGGCTCAATTAGCACTTCCTGTCTAGAACAGCACACAGAGAAAATTTCTGAAGCTGCCTTTGATTCACAGAGAGAAAAGCATTATGATCTCCTTGTCCGTATCTAAAGCAATATAAGCACCTGTTTACTCGTTGGTTGGGGTTACCAATGATGAAAGTATCTGAAGAAAAATGCATGATGGTCCCTGATAAAACGGCCAACTTAGCACTCTGGAAGGTGGAGGAGTTGGGGAGGGCAGTGCGGAGTCAGCCGTGAGTGCTGCTGGCTGGCCTCCTCCATGATTATAACGGGGATGATGTTTTCCTTCAGATTCCTTTTTAATTGAAAATGCTGCTCCTACCTTTCTTGAAACTATTCTACGTACTCATAAGCTTTTAATACTTTACTCCTTTGTTGAGGCTGACGTCCATAGGAATAGGGCGGCAAGGAGGAGGAGGAGGAGGAGGAGGAGGAGCTCATGGTTGACTTGAGTGCAAGATGAAAGAGCTGGAAAGGTTGTAAGACATTATACTTATTCCCATTTAGTACCTTCAAATTTGATATCCAAAGAAAAGAAGGGGTGGACATATATCTCTACAGATTATTTCATGAAACATAAAAAGAATTTATTGGCATTAGAAGTTCAAATGTTACTACTGTTTGGAATCTGGCAGCTACAAAGATGTGCTAAATTTGACGTTCTCAAATTTCAGATGCCAGATTGACCAACTATGGGAGAATGGCAGTGTCCAGGGAAGTGATGCAGATGAAAGCCTGATCCAAGGATGCGGATGGGGATGTGTAGCCTTAGGAAATAACTTCCAAGGAAAGATAACCAGATGATTCTCTGAATCTGTTGTATGTAAAGCGATATAAGTACCTGGCAACCCTTGAGATTATGGGACTTGACAAGAGACTTGAGGTGAGACTTAGAAGCTGAGCAGTTGGGTTTTTTGTTTGTTTGTTTGTTTTTTGAGACAGGGTTTCTCTGTATAGTTCTGGCTGTCCTGGAACTCACTTTGTAGACCAAGCTGGCCTCGAACTCAGAGATCTGTCTGCCTCTGCTCCCTGGGTGCTGGGATTTAAAGGCTAGCGCCACCACTGCTCAGCGCAGTTGGTCATAATTGCAACTTCTCTGGTGGACCCACCTCCTAGGAGAGGGTTTGTTAAATCACTCCCAAAGCCAGCTTCCTCTCTTTGTTTCAGTGCAGCTGGGTTAGAGCCCGAGACTCTGCATTTTTAACACTTTCCTCGGTGAGGAAAGGGCAGAATGCTTTATACCAAGTGGTGAACGGTGAAAGAAACAGTAGAAAAAAAAAATCTAATGTGGACTGTTTATTCAAGGATTTGGCTGTGAAGGAGAAGAGAGGGATGTAGGTCAAGGGAAGATTTTTCCCTTCCTTGGCTTGCTCTATGTAAGATAAAAAGAATCAGAACATACTTTTGTTATAGGAGTCTATAAGGCTATGGAAACGGAACTGTATAATGATAGCCAAAGAGCAAAGTCGTGGTCCAGCCAGCGCTACGGGAATAGAACGAAGGGGAAGGGAACACACACCTGAAGGAAGCTAATGCAGAGGCCTGGGCTGGAGCTGAGGAGGTTTATGTATGAAAACGTACATTTTTAATGGGGCTAGAGCACAGCTGTTTTCCAGTGGTAGGGTAACAGTAGATTAAGATGTCTAAGATGGACTCAGAGGAATTTCTATGGCAACAAACGTGAACTCGCTATCAAATGGCCCAAACTGGGCTTTAATGTTCAAAAGCTTGGGAGGTAGGAATAATTGTTGGGGATCTCCGAAGGGGGGGGCATTCCAAACCCCACCTAAGCACACCAAGCGGAGGCTCCTCCCCTGGAACTGCCCTCTCCAGACCCCGCCCAAAGAAACGCCTCCAAGTCCTGGTTCTTCCCGGAGCTGCTCAGGACAGCCTACTAAGGTCCATGGTTTCCCCTCTCTCCCTGGACCACCCGGGAATACTTTAATTCGGTTTAATTTGGCCTGATCAGACTTACTGCATCAGCAGAGTTACACACTACTGGGGGATATTAATATTCTATCCTGATCTTCTAAAAATTCCTTAGAAATGCTCTTAGAAAGTTTCTCTAATGCTGAGATTGTAGCTCAGAGTACCATGCTTGCCCAGCATGCACAAAGGCCCTGGGTTCAATCCTCAGCACTGTCAAAAAGCTCCCATAGCCTTTTCTGATTTTCCTAAGGCAAGAATCCTTGTAGGGGCAGCTGTAATTAAAATTAACTCCCAGATTGGAAGCAGTGCTGGGAGTAGACCAGGTGGAAGCAGTTAATTAACAAATAGGCTACAGGTCTTCATAACACAGAGGAAAAACAAATGGTGGTCTGGCCTACACAGTTTTCTGGTGCTAGTTAAATGTAGGGCCCAAGGAATGAACT